CTGAACGGTCGTCAGAAAACACCCCTTTTGGCCGTTGGCAGATATGAAAAAAAGCACCGATACAGGACTCGAAAAAACCTTGCCTGCTGCCGCCACCGACCGCCACTCAGTAGTTCTCAGCCTTACCTGACAATACATCAAACGATTATGGCTCTGGGCATAGAGATTAGTGTAGGAAAGATGGCCTCCACTCATCTCTATGCCCTTGGAGGACCGGAGCAATGTCACTTCCGGTTCCGGACATTTTTTTTTTCTTAAAGTTTTTGATCCAATGCTTTACATTGCAGAGGAGAGATGTGGGGTCTTATTGACCCCATATCTCTCCATAAAGAGGAACTGTCACTAATTATTTCTATCACAAGGGATGCATGCATTTCTTGTGATAAGAATGAAAGTGATTTAAAACATTTTTTTAAAGGGACAGTGCAAAAAAAAAATTAAATTAAAAAAAGTTTACAGTGCCTCAGTTCCCCCATGCTCGCACGTAGTGGTGAACGCATACGTAGGCCATGCCCACATATGTAAATGATGTTCAAACCACACGTGCGGTATCGCCACGAACATCAGAGCAAGAGCAATAATTCTCGCACTAGACCTCGTCTGTAACTTTACACTGCTAACCTGTAGACATTTTTAAAGCGTCACCCATGGAGATTTTTAAGTACCGCAGTTTCACTCCATTCCACAAGCGTGCGCAATTTTAAAGCGTGACATGTTGGGTATCTATTTACTTGCTGTAACATCCTCTTTTTTTATTTTACAAAAAAATTGGGGTATATATTTTTTTTTTTTGTTTTTTTTTTTTTAATCAAAGTGTATAGACTCTGCTGTGAAAGGACCCTAACAAAGACACAGACAGCATAAAAGTCCTGAGAGGTGCTCTAATCCCTCTCTGCTCTGTCTATTACTAAAGAAAAACAAAATAGTTTTGACTTTAGTTATACTTTAAACTTGCAATAGACACACTTCATGGAGTGACTGTTCCTCCTCTTGGCTCAGTACAAATTTCCAATCAGAGATGAGTGTTCTGAAATCAAACTGTATCTGCTGTTCTCTTCAGAAGACCCTTGAATGCTCTGCAAATCCTGTGTCAAATGTGCATCTTATGTTGGATGCTCATATGTAAAATTTTAAAAAATATTGTATAAATCTGAAGAAAAGAAAATATAAAATATCAGTTAAAGTGATAAAACTATATTTAAAAAAAATACAGTAAACTCCGAACACAACTGGTGTGCCCAACAATTCAAACACTTTTTAGTTAAGACAACATACGCTATGCTAACCTGTGCCTAATGAAGCATTCCCATAAAATCTGTCAAGTTTGTGGACCTTGAGGCAACCTGGATGGTTGGATGCTATTCCAGCAGAACAGAGAGCATATGAATGTTGTTCTTTGCATATACCTTATAGGGAATGAGCCATCTGCAGTTAACGGTTCAGCAAGAATATCAGGTGAGGTGGAATCATTAATTCTTAAGTTTATTCATGTATGTAACAAAACGTGTTCACATTTTATTCAGTCCATGCCATTGTAGGTCATCTTTTTAAATGTTGCATATAAATTGTTTACACCTTAAACAGCAATGCCTTTTTGCCAGCTGTATATTGGAATACCCTGAATATTAGGCTCAAATGCACAGGATACAAATCCTTTCACACGGAATTGTAACTGCTTCACGCTATTTAAGGCTTTGTGTAAAATTTAGAAATTAGAAGTGTCACAAGCAATACATGTTCCTTTTTTATTCTGAATGTCCACAAATAATGAGAGCAGAAATCTGTTTAAAGGAAGTATGGGCTTTGTAGGGAAAAAAAAAAAAAAGCATCCATACCTCCATGCTGTGCAGGAGGTATGCTCTGTGCACTGCTGCAGTTGTCCCATTCCAACTCTTAACACAGAGAACTGAGCAATCGCATGACTGCTGATCACTCAGTTCTCAGTATGCTTCAAGTGGGGAGCTAGGATTGTCAGTATCTGCTCTGCTTTGCTCCTCTAATGCTCACTGGAGTGTCGGGCTGGGGAGGGGGCAGGGGCAGAGTGGCTGGCTGAGGCTTTCAACCATGCACTGAAAGGCAGAGTCAGCTGTCATTCAGGCAGGGGGGTGGATCCCGACAGAATTGTTGGGATCTTTCCTGAGCCTGCCATAGTTCTGCCCCGTCAACTCAAAGCAGACAGCCCACTATAAGCTGATTCTAGGTTGCAGGAATACAAAAGTAATGTATTTCTGGGACCCACAAGAGAAATATGGACAAAAAGCTTTAGCCATACTACTCTTTTGGTTGGTAGGGTTAACTGCTGTTTGCATCTTACTATTAGAAAGGCAACTATTTTGAGTACATTTGAGAATTATGCAGACATTCATATTGCTGTGCCTTACCTGTTTAGGATTCATGTACACGGGCATACAAAATAGTGTTTAGATCCATAATGTGTACAATTTTATACAGATCTGAACATTATTGTAGGCTATGGGCCTAGTGCACATAGAAGCCTTGTGGTCAGTATTATTCTGTAACAATGAGCTGCATAACGCTAAAGTAGGAAATTGTGCCTTTGATTTGAACTGATTTGTATGTACGCATGTAAACATTGGTGTGAACGCTTACCTGTTTAAACACCGCTGCCTAGTGCTTATGAATTCAATCATTGTGAATGACTAAAGGCAGATGCAACTCTGCACAACTGCCTACACTTTGTTTAAATCTCTCTGCTGGCCCTGAATGAGCCATTCACTAGGCAGTGGTGCATGCACAGAATGACCTTCGCCTTCAGTTAGCCACCTTTTTTTTCAAAATAACTGAAGGCGGGGGTCATTTTGCACTGCCTAGCGAATGAATTATTCAGAGCTTGAAGAGATGTAAATATAAACACAAAGCACAGCCAGCGGCAGTGGTGCTTATGGACATAGACGTGTTAATATTTACCATTTTGGAGCACGTTTTATGCAGAGTCTTGCCTGCCAGCAAGATCCTGTATACATTTCATTAGTTTTATTCCCGTGTGCATGAGCCCTTAAGTTAGGTACCGAGCACCTATGTTCTTTTCTTCCCCAGCAATATATGTTAAGATACAGTCAAATTAATTGCTTATCACTTTTTGTAGTGGAGATCACATGTGGGTAATAAGACAAAGTTCCTGATCTCTGTCTAAAATGTTTTTTTTTTTTTGTTTTTTAGTTTTCGTGAGTGACCTCTTCTTGGGTCTTGCTTTCTATCCTAGATCCTGGTGGGTGGGGATATTTTCTACTACTGTGTAACACTTGGTTGCAAAGCTTAGCTGCGTGTTGTCAATGACCTCTGCTTTCTCCATATGTATGGTATTTAATACATACGTATTGTGTTGAATGTTGAATCCGCACGTTACACATCTACCTTTAATATATGTGTGAAGTTTCTTCTTATGATGTGACCATGCCATTGTAATGACAGTTTAAATGAACACCAATGTGTATAGTGGTAAATAGGTCTCTTTCGTGAAGTGTCCAAGCTAAATTTGTACTTTTTTATTTTATCCTCACATTTCAACATGGAATGGTTTAGATTGGTATATAAAAGTGCAGTTGTTATAAAAACAACTGTTTACAATCAATATTTCAATTCCTTAGGGGATGGAAGCTGAGATGGAAATGAGCTCCAGGTTGCTCTGGTTTTTTCTTCTCTATTTTGGAGGTCAGGACTGAAAGTTGTAATGTTGGAAACTTTTTTTTCTTTTTTTCCAAAAAATAATTGGTTTCCCAAAAACAAAAATTACAGTCAGTAATTTGACATTCTTAGTAATGCACATCCTCCCGTCACTTATGTCATGGAAAATGTAGTGTGTTCAAGGAGTGTATCTAGTTTAGTCTGGTATGAAATGTTAAGTGTTCATGATTACGTGTTGTCATCCTTCAGTTCTTAGCATTGTGACAGCCTTCTATGTATGGCTCTGTTCCTCCTGACTAGGGCGTGCTACTTCAGAATATGGCTCACGACCAGAATCCAAAATACTTGATTCCTCCAAATTGCCATTGTACCTGAATGTTATAAAGCTGTCATTTTGTACATTTTGGCATTAAGTTCAGACTAAATGCACATTTTCAATTGCAAACTTTCAGCGTGAATAGCTGTGATTGCCTTTCATTTTCAAGCAAACTGGCAGGAAAAGTATTGTTCCTTGAAAGGTTAGCTGTACACCGACAATAAAAACCTCTTTGTACACGGTACACCTACCTCTTTCAGTATGCATGTGTTAGGCACACAACTAGTCATTGCACTTCATATACTTAAATCAAGTAGATTGGCTCTTCCATTTAAATCTGTAGCTCAACAAAAGAAACGAATGATACTTACAAAGCACATACCTTGATTTTGTAGAAGTTTAGTACCATTGTTTGTCCTGACTGAAGTGTATCTGTCATCAAACAAAATACTTTCTGAGAAGCCTTTGACATTGTCACACTCGCAGGCTGAATGAAATTTCCAAGACAGGCACCTCATTCGAGATGTTGAAGAACTCCTTCGCTTCCCAAGAACATGTATGCAATTCGTAAGACTGTGGTAGCTTCAGCCCAATGCCTTCCAGACCGGTTTCCTGTTTGGGAAAAATTTGCATTATCGAGCTGTGACCAGGAATACTGTAGGGCCTTCTGGCTAACCAATGTAAAGCATAATCATTGCATTTATAAAGTCCTTCACACAGTGCACACCGCTTATTGTAATTTTCTCAGAAGTCTGTCCTGTTGATAGATGGCTTAGAACAGTTCTAGAGATTACTTTCACTAGTACCAGAGACTCCCGCTGTTACTACTGATGCATGTTATCTTTTTAAATAACGCGTTAGATCAAGAAAGTAAGATAAAATGTATCTTTATATGTTCATTTTTTACTTGATGTTCAAATTGATTAATAAAGCTTGATTTCCATGAACTTAGAAAAAAATCAGATGTGTTTGTTCTTTTAATATTGTTTTTATGGTGTCAGTGTTTTTCCTTACAGTATATTTTTTATTTATATTCTAGATTGTGGTTTAAATGTTCACAAACAGTGCTCTAAGATGGTTCCTAACGACTGCAAGCCGGACTTGAAACACGTCAAGAAAGTTTACAGCTGTGACCTCACCACCTTAGTTAAAGCACACAACACGAAGAGGCCGATGGTAGTGGACATGTGTATTAGAGAGATAGAGGCTAGAGGTGAGTTCTTATGTAATTATATCCCTGTTGGGTAGGATAGAGTGACAAGGACCTGGGTTCTCATTCCTTCCAACAACACAGAAAATAAAGTTTGGTTTTTTTTTTCTGTGTTTGTAATGGTTTCATTCAAGTGACCTGACTTTGCATTGTGAAGATCTGACGTCTTTATATAAACCTTTTTGTCAGCTCTTTTTGTCAGTCTCCGCAATGCACTCATTGTGTAGCAAAGCATTTAAACTTATATATTTAAAAACTATAAATGGAAACAAATTTTTTAAATTACCTTTAGTCCATTAAAGTAGAACTTGCAGGTGTTCTATGACTATGATCATTGAGGGTTGTGCATGTATGCGATCTTGGTACTTGGTTAGACTCTCACACAGAAGCCTTTAGATGTGCTTTAAGATATAATACAGTACACATACTTAGCTTTTAAATTTTTTATTTCAATGCCACTGAAGAATGTTAGAACACAATTAGTACAAATCTATACTTTGCACAAACTGGTTAAACAAAAATTTTTTTTTGATATCTTGCTTTGCAAATTATGGTTTCTCTATCTTTATTTTCTATCACAGGCTTGAATTCAGAAGGACTGTATAGAATATCAGGTTTCACTGATCTCATTGAAGATGCTAAAATGGCCTTCGACCGAGGTAGAATATAAATTACATTTTTAAAGGAACTGTCCATATAGTCATGTTCATTGTGATTCTCCCTATACATCTGCAGTTCATTGTTGAGGCCTTTTCGTTCTTACTGGTATCAGTGCTGTTGTTTGCATGAGGACTGGTCTGCTTGGATTATTGGCCTGGACTGATCTCCTCCTGTGGGATGATCAGCCTAAGTCAAACCAATCTAAAGTCATCTATTAAGAACTGTCTGTGGCACTTGGGCCACAGACAGTTCTGAGCTGTAGTGGTGCTAATGCATGTTATATGGTAGCTTAACTAGAAGATGTTCTGTCAGTTACATTTGTATACCTTTTATATGCTGTAGCTGCTTTTTAATTCCAGTCCAGCCTTGCTTAGCTTAGTGCATGTTTATCTACCTACCTCTAGCCATTTATCAATGGGAAACCAAAATAAAGACACGCTAAGCTAAATGATTACATAGCTGCATTAATTGCAGTTATGATATTTGCCAGTTCAGCTCTTAAGCAACCCTGTCATTAAAGTAAAGAAAAAAAGTTAAACAGGAGATTATAACAGAAGTCTACTAACCTGTAAGTGACAACTGATATTTGCTATTAATATTGTAACTGGGTTAATGTGTACTAGCAGGGTTGAAGGTTTTGTACAGTGCACAGTGTGCCACATGTATGCAACAATGGAGCAACAGCTCCAGGATGGATACCGCTGCGACAGATATGAGCAGGTTGCCCTTCTGGAAACTCGCATTCGAGATCTAGAGGATCACATTGCAACACTGGGCAGAATCGACAACCTTTAAAGGGGTCTCTGCTCTCTGAGCAGGTATCTAATGGGATTGATTTGGAGGGCGGAGGGGCTAATCAGGATTATCAGGTAGGAAGATGGGTTACTGTAACAAGAGGGAGTGGTAGGGGCTCACAGAAAAGGAAGGCCGTCCCTGGGTTTGTGCACCCAAACAGATTTACCAAGTTGGGTGAAGATGTGGTTGTGACAAGCTTATGGGTGGCAGCCCTGGATGTCACTGCTATCTTTAACAAGCAGGAGGGCAGACCATCTGGAAGGAGTTGTGAGTGTAGTGCAGGAAAGCCTAGACAGCTGGTGGTAGTAGGGGATTCTATAATCAGAAGGACCGATAGAATAATTTGTCGCCAGGATCACCTCAACCGAATGTTTTGTTTTTTTTGTCTCCCTAGTACCAGGGTTCAGCATGTGTTGGACCGGGTTGATAAATTACTGGGAGGGGCTAGGCATGACCGAGCTGTCTCGGTTCATGTTGGAACAAATGACGGAATACATGGAAGGTGGAGGCTCCTTAAGAATCAGTTTAAAGAACTAGGCTGCAAGTTGAAGGGAAGGACCTCCTAGGTGATATTCTATGAAATATTTTCTGTGCCATATGCAACTCCGGAAACACGGGGAGATTAGAGAACTCAATGCATGGCTGAAGACCTGGTGTAAGAGGGAAGGATTTGGATTTTTAGAGCACTGGGCCAATTTTTCATTGGGGTGCAGCCTGTATGCTAATATGCATCATACATACTAGGGGGAGTACGACTGGAGGAATCAATGGTGAAGGATCTGGCAGTTCTGGTAGATCACAAGCTTAATAATGGCATGCAATGCCAAGCTGCGGTTTCTAAAGCGAGCAAAATCCTCTCTTTTATTTAAAGAAGTATAGACGCCAGAGAGGGAGATATTATATTACCCCTGTACAAATCATTAGTAAAACCTCACCTGGAATATGCAGTTCAGTTTTGGGCACCAGTGCACAAAAAGAACAAACATTGGGGAAATGGAGAAAGTACAGAGAAGGGAAACAAAACTGATAAAGAGGCATGGAGGAGCTCAGCTATAAGGAAAGATTAGAGGAATTGAATTTATTCTCTCTTGAGAAGAGGAGATTAAGGGGGGAATATGATCAACATGTACAGGTGAAATTCAAAAAAATTTAGAATATCGTGCAAAAGTTAATTTATTTCAGTAATGCAACTTAAAAGGTGAAATTAATATATGAGATACTCATTACATGCAAAGCAAGATAGTTCAAGCTGTGATTTGTCATAATTGTGATGATTCTGGCTTACAGCTCATGAAAACCCCAAATCCACAGTCTCAGAAAATGAGAATATTGTGAAAAGGTGCAATATACTAGGCTCAAAGTAGACCAATCTAATCAGATAATTAAGCCATAACACCTGCAAAGGGTTCCTGAGCCTTTAAATGGTCTCTCATTCTGGTTCAGTAGGAATCACAATCATGGAAAAGACTGCTGACCTGACAATTGTGCAGAAAACCATCATTGACACCCTCCATAAGGGGGGGAAAGCCTCAAAAAGGTAATTGCAAAATAAATTGGATGTTCCCAAAGTGCTATATCAAAGCACATTAATAGAAAGTTATGTGGAAGGGAAAAGTGTGGAAGAAAAAAGGTGCACAAGCAGCAGTGATGACCGCAGCCTGGAGAGGATTGTCAGGAAAAGGCCATTCAAAAGTGTGGGGGATTTTCACAAGGAGTGGGCTGAGGCTGGAGTCAGTGCATCAAGAGCCACCACACACAGACAGATACTGGACATGGGCTTCAAATGTCGTATTCCTCTTGTCAAGCCGCTCCTGAACAACAAACTTCAGAACCGTCTTACCTAGGCTAAAGAAAAACCGACCTGGTCTGTTGCTCAGTGGTCCAAAGTCCTATTTTCTGATGACAGCAACTTTTGCATCTCATTTGGAAACCAAGGACCCAGAGTATGGATGAAGAATGGAGAGGCACACACTGCAAGATGCTTGAAGTCCAGTGTGAAGTTTCCACAGTCTGTGTTGATTTGGGGAGCCATGTCATCTGCTGGTGTTGGTCCACTGTGCTTCATTAAGTCCAGGGTCAACGCAGCCGTCTACCAGGAGATTTTGGAGCACTTCATGCTTCCTTCCCCAGACGAGCTTTATGGGGATGCTGACTTCATTTTCCAGCAGGACTTGGCACCTGCCCACACTGCCAAAAGCACCAAAACCTGGTTCAATGACCATGGGATTACTGTGCTTGATTGGCCAGTAAATTCGCCTGACCAGAGAATCTATGGGGCATTGCCAAGAGAAAGATGAGAGACATGAGACCGAACAATGCAGAAGAGCTGAAGGCCACTATTGAAGCATCCTGGTCTTCCATAACACCTCAGCAGTGCCACAGGCTGATAGCTTCTATGCCACGCCGCAATGAGGCAGTAATTGCTGCAAAAGGGGCCCAAACCAAGTACTGAGTACATATGCATGCTTATACTTTTCAGAGGTCCAATATTGTTCTATATACAATCCTTGTTTTATTGATTGCATGTAATATTCTAAATTTCTGAGATTGTGGATTTGGGGTTTTCATGAGCCGTAAGCCATAATCATCACAATTATGACAAATTACAGCTTGAACTATCTTGCTTTGCATGTAATGAGTCTATCTCCTATATTAGTTTCACCTTTTAAGTTGCATTACTGAAATAAATGAACTTTTGCACGATATTCTAATTTTTCGAGTTTCACCTGTATAAATACATCAGTGGTTCATATAGTGAACTCGGTGTAGAGTTATTCACCCTGAGGTCATCACAGAGGACAAGAAAGAGACTCTTTACGTCTCGAAAAGAAATGTAATCTCCCAACACGGAAAGTTTTCTTCACAGTAAGAGCTGTGAAAATGTGGAATAGACTCCCTCAAGAGTTGGTTCTGGCCAGCACAGTGAATTGCTTTAAAAAAGTCCTGGATTCTTTCTTGGATACACAGAATATAACTGGATACTAACATTTATAGGTAAAGTTGATCCATGGAATATCCGATTGCTTCTCGGGGGATCAGGAAGGAATTTTTTTTCCCTGCAGGAGCAAATTGGATAAGGCTTTGCTGTTTTTTTTTTGCCTTCCTCTGTGTCAACTGTGGGTATAGGATTGTATTCTAATGGTTGAACTGGATTGAGTTTTGTCTTTTTTTCATCCAGACTAACTGTGTAACTATCACAGATACCCTGCAAAAAATATTTAATACTTACCTTTTCAGCAGGTGGTGAATCAATCTGCACTATTTTGAAGAGCTTTAAGTGCCACTGGTATCCAACACTTCTAAGTGTGTCAGATATCTTGTCCTTTGCTGTGTGTGTGCTTTGGTTTCTCCTGCCAGTCTCTATCATTACTGTGTCTTGTAGTGATGTAGCACCCGGAGGAACCTCAGCATCCAGTAGGGCATCTGGAATCCTTACGCACTTGGAGGCGTCGAAACCAGCCGTGCTCATAGCTCTCCATGAAAGCAAGGATTAGATTAGCTGCCTATTGGATAATTATTACGCGTT